CCCCTAGGACCCCAAACTCCCCCCTCAGACCCCTTTTGGCGGGAATTCGGGGACTTTAAGACCCCTTTAGAGGCCTACAAGGCCTCAAACCCCCACCCAGAGGCCTACAAGGCCTCAAACTCAATTTTGAGGCCTACAAGACCCCCAGATCTGCCCCCAGACCCAAATTTGGGGACTTTTTAGGAGTTTTTGGGGACCCCCAACCCCCCCAGGACCCCCCCAAGCGGACCAGGTCCATGTGCTTGAGGCTGTCGAGGAGCTTGCAGTTGCGGTTCTTGAGGCGGTGGGCCTCGTCGATGACCACGCAGCGCCACTCGATCTCGCGCAGCTCGGGGCAGTCGGACAGGATCATCTCGAAGGTGGTGATGAGGGCGTCGAATTTGTAGGCCCCGGGGATGAGGCGGCCCTAAGGAAAGGCGGGAAAGGAAGGGCGGGAAAGGGGTGGGGTCATGGGTTGAAGCCTACTAAGGTTTCGGGGCCTACTAAGGCCTTTAAGGCCTACTAAGGCTTTAGGGCCTACTAAAGATTTGAGACCTACTAAGGCCTTTAAGACCTACTAAGGCTTTGAAGCCTAAGGCCTTTAAGGCCTACTAATGGTTGAGGCCTACTAAAGGTGGCCTAAGGCCTTTAAGGCCTCCTAAGGCTTTGAGACCTACTAAAGGTTTGAGGCCTACTAAGGCCTTTAAAGCCTACTAAGGCTTTGAGGCCTACTAAAGATTTGAGACCTACTAAGGCCTTTTTGGCCTTCTAAGGCTTTGAGACCTACTGAGGGTTTGAGGCCTAAGGCCTTTAAGGCCTACTAAATCTTTGAGGCCTACTGAGGGTTTGAGGTCTAAGGCCTTTGAGGCCTACTGAGGGTTTGAGGCCTAAGGCCTTTGAGGCCTACTAATGGTTGAGGCCTACTAAAGGTTTAAGGCCTACTAAGGCTTTGAGGCCTATTAAGGCCTTTAAGGCCTTCTAAGGCTTTGAAACCTACTGAGGGTTTGAAACCTACTGAGGCCTTTAAGGCCTTCTAAGGCTTTGAAACCTACTGAGGATTTGAGGTCTAAAGCCTTTAAGGCCTACTAACGGTTGAGGCCTACTAAGGCCTTTAAGGCCTACAAAGCCTTTGAGGCCCACTAAAGCCTTCAAGGCCTACCAAGGCTTTGAGGCCTACTAAGGCCTTTAAGGCCTACTAAAGGTTTGAGCCCTACTAAGGCTTTTCAGGCCTACTAAGAGTTCGAGGCCTGTTAAGGCTTTGAGACCTACTAAGGCCTTGAAAGCCTACTAACAGTTTGAGACCTACTAAGGGTTTGAGACCTACTAAGGCCTACCAAGGCTTTGAAACCTAGCAAGGCTTTGAGGCCTACACCAAAGGTTGCGGCCTAGCAAGACCATTGAGGCCTACCCAGGTTTTGAGGCCTACCACAAGGTCGTGGCCTACAAAGGCTTTTGAGACCTAGGCAACTTTTGAGGCCTACGAAACATTTCAGGCCTACCAACCCCTTTGAGGCCTACCAAATTCTTTGGGCCTCCCCAACTTCCGAGGCCTACCAAGCCCTTTGAGGCCCACCAAATCCTCCGGGCCTACAAAGGGTTTTGAGACCTACTGAGGCCTACTAAGACTTTTAAGGCCTACCAAGGCTTTTGACGCCTACTAGGATTGCGGGCTACAAAGGCTCTGAGGCCTACCCAACTTCCGAGGCCTACCCAGCCCTTTGAGGCGTACCAAGGTTGCGGCCTACAAAGCCTTTTGAGGCCCACTCAGGCTTTTGAGACCTACCAAATCCTTCGGGCCTACAAAGGCTTTTGAGGCCTACCAATCCCTTTGAGGCCTCCCCAGCCCTTTGAGGCCTACGAAGTTTGTGGCCTATAAAGCCTTTTGAGGCCCACCCAGGCTTTTGAGGCCTACCAACCCCTTTCAGGCCTACCAAGTCCTTCAGGCCTACAAAGGCTTTTGAGGCCTACCAAACCCTTCAGGCCTCCCCAACTTCCGAGGCCTGCCAAGCCTTTTGAGGCCTACCAAGGCTTTTAAGACCTACCCAGGTTTTTGAGGCCTACTAGGGTTGCGACCCACGAAAGTAACCTATGAAGGTTCTGAGGCCTACCCAACTTCTGAGGCCTACCCAGGCTTTTGAGACCTACCAAATCCTTCGGGCCTATCCAACTTCCGAGGCCTACCAAGCCCTTTGAGGCCTACCAACCCCTTTGACGCCTACAGAGGCTTTTGAAGCCTACTAAGGCCTACCAAGGCTTTTGAGGCCTACTAGGGTTGCGACCCATGAAAGCTCTGAGGCCTACCCCACTTCTGAGGCCTACCAAATCTTTCAGGCCTATCCAACTTCTGAGGCCTACCAAGCCCTTTGAGGCC